CCCATCATTCCTGGGAGAGATCATTGTCCCCCTTGTTGCCACAGCGCCCTGTGAGGCTGTGGGAAACAAATGACCTCAGAAGCACTGCAGTGTGTGTCACTGCAAAAGAAAAGAGAAGCGAGGGGGCCGGGGGAGAGAGGGGGGCTGCTGGCAAGCGGAGCCCTCCGGGGCGGGGGCGCCGCCGCCCTCCAATGGTATCCCCCCAGGCACAGCAGGAAGGAGGCGCGCGGGCCCCAGGAGTCTCCAGCCAGCCAGTAACGGGATTAAGCTCCCATTCCCCAGAAGCAAAGCGTCTTTCTGGACGTCCTGCTGCTCGTCCTGATCAAGCTGGCCTCTAATTGGCCCTCCTCACAAAGTGCCCAGTGACTGCTAGTGTCTCACTTTGTTTAATGGGTGTCTTGAGTCAAGACGGGGCCCTCCGGAGGCCCATGCGGGGCGAGTGGTGGCGGAGGGAGGGGACAGGGGAGAGCCAGGCGGGGGAGTGGGCTAGCCGGGGCGGGGGCAAGGGACAAACGAAGGGGGTGCGGTCCAGAGAGGGGGCAGCTGGAGGCAGGGGGAGGAGAAGGAGTCAGGAGCGCGGGATGGTGAAGCCGAGCTGGAGTAGGTACTGAGCAGACCTTTCCTCTGCCACACACTGTGCTTGGGCACTGGAGACAGAAGCCGCGCATCCCCGCTCTCACTCAGGGCGCGTGCGGGCGTGCAAACAAGTGCGTGCGTGCAAACAAGCCGGCAGCCCGCCGGCGCGGGCTTTTCCCAGCAGAGCTCACCCTAACACAGCATCGATTTTACCTCTTCTTCCACGAGCTCTGTCAGTTCAAGCGATGTCCGTCTCACGTGTGGGCACGCAGAAGCATGACAGTGAAGGGCAGGCTCGGAGTCTTCGTAAGACGGCACCTCTACCTTCCGCACACACTGAGACCTCACGCACAGAGACATCACACAGAGACAATTCACACCGCCACCGCCACCAGTCTCCGTTTCGGGGGCTCCCTGGTAGGTGACAAGGCTGCTGGAAACACTGAGATAGAGCATCACGTTTACCATTCAGAGATGACACCTGCTCTGCTCCCCTGCTCCTAGCCCTCCGACCTGAACCACAGAGCTCTGTGAGCCACAGGGTGCCAAGCAAAACGGCAAGGGGAGCAGAGCACAGCATGCGGGAGTGGGAGCCGGGGCCCCTGAAGGTGGTCCATCTCCACACTGGGGAGCATGTAGAAAATGGATAAATAGAATTAAAATAAAATATGATAGAGTAACACATATACACACATAACTGTATCATAAAGTTTATGTATGAAATTCCTTTTATAGATGTGTGCATTTCCTAAGCAAATATGGAATGTGTGGCTGTATACATTTCTTTTTACTGACTGTTTAATCACCTATGTTCATTCACCAAATATTTGCTCAGTGCATAGTACCTATTTTTTAAAAAGGGCTGCAAATATTGAGTTTATCTCTAGGCTTTGTTTTGGTCTCTATAAAGATGAAGGCATGGTATTTTGCAGTCTCAAGGGTAATGAGACCGGTAGGGTGGCTGAATATGAAAAACAATTTTGTACCAAAAACCTTTCCTCACAAAACAGCCTCAACTGTGGTAATTCAGGTTTTTGCAGCAGCCTGGCACCTGGGAAATACTGGTTTGGCGAAGCTGGGTTTGGTGCACAGAGGTCCTGCCCATTTTGAGTTGTTGCCCAAGAATGCGGACGTCTCTGGGTTGCCCTCCCTCCTCCTGGCGGTGCCTGGGGATGTGCAAGAGCACCAGAGGGCTTTCACAGATACACTCAGTCCCCTGAAAATACAAATGACAGATAAGAATGAGAAGGATTTGGTATAGTACTTTTCTATTAGGTTTCCATTAGGCCCTAGGCTTAGTATTTTTCAGAGTGGGATGATTATGAAAGAGCTCCAGGACCAGAAGCTGGGACCCAAGCTCCCCAAATTAACCTCTCTGTTGTCTCCACCACCCTACCTGGGAAATGAGGCTGGTGATGGTACCCACATAATCAGACTGTTGTGAGAATTATAATTATGTTATAAGAATATGGTCAAGGGGCGCCTGGGTGGCTCAGTTGGTTAAGCGTCTGACTCTTGATTTCGGCTCAGGTCGTGATCTCAGAGTTGTGAGATCGAGCCCGGCGTTGGGCTCCATGCTGGGCGTGGAGCCTGCTTAAGATTCTCTCTCCTAAATGAAATAAAACGAATAAAATGAAACCAGAGAGGGAGACAAACCATAACATAGTCAATCTCAGGAAACAAACTGAGGGTTGCTGGAGTGGGGGGGGGTGCGGAGAGGGATGGGGTGGCTGGGTGATGGACATTGGGGAGGGGATGTGCTATGGTGAGCACTGAATTGCGTAAGACTGATGAATCACAGACCTGTACCCCTGAAACAAATAATACATTATATGTTAATTAAAAAAAAAAGATTCTCTTTTTTTTTTTTGCTTCTCCCACAAAAAATATTAAGAATATGAGGCAACACATGAAAAATTCCTATAACAGTGCTTGGCATATAGTTATTAAATATTAGTTGTTGTAGCAATTATTAATCTTAATGTATTTCCCTAGTCTCACCCCCTTTTAGGAATTTTAGTACCCCATTCAAGGATTAATAAACATGACGAGAGCTAACATTTACATTTTTGGGGAACTCACTACATACCAGGCACTAGGGGTCATTTATATGTATTATATGTATTTAATTCTTATTCCGTGAGGGAAGTTTGCAGGCATTGTCTTATGGCCTCTGACAGAGGCCCTGTATTAGCTTGACCCATATGATATGGCTGATCTTCAACTGTTATGGATCTATAAAAACAGTGACTTCATTTAATTTACCCTAATTTATTTAGGGTGACTGAAAAGAGATCAGGGAAATAAAGGCTAGTTCGAGGAAAGTAGACATGTGAGACAAGGAGGCTACCCTTTGCTCCATCCCCAGCCCTGGAGCTATAACATGATGAGAAGGTATGGTTCCTAGAGGGAAACCAGGAGACAGGATGATATCAGGTATAGAAGGAGAGCGACTAAGGGTCTAGGGAACCCAGCTAAAGGACCAAGCATAAAAGCCATCAGAAAGACTTCCCCAGGCTCAGAAAACAATTTCAGGGCCATTCATTCAATCCAGAGATATTTCCTGAGCATCTAAGGAGAGACCAGGAAATAGAGTGGAAACGAGTAAGATCTGCATTCCAACTTTGGTCCGGTCATTTGCTAGCTGTATGACGCTGGCTGAGTTTCTTAACTCCTAAGCCTCAATTTCCTCATCTTCGAGCTGGAGATGATACCACCTATGATGTAGGATAACTGGGAGGATTAGGGATAATACATGAGAGAAACACATGGGACAGTGCCTAGCACGTGGCATGTGCCCCATAGAGCATATTACCATTATTACTGTTACTCCTGCCACTGCGGATACTAAGGTCCCCACTCTCACCGCCCTCCAGGCATTGTGTTACACACCCAAGGTTGCTCCCTGCTCTCAGGGATGTCAGCCATGGAAGGGAAGCCTCAGCGCATTTAGGACAGCCTTATATGGCCAGAGGACTTCAGCAGGGAAGGGTGTAAAGAAAGCATTCCAGGAGAGGGAGTGGCACCTGCAATGTAGAGAAGCCCAACAGGCAGGCCCCTGAGCTGGGGGCCGGGAAGCAGCTGAGTTTAAGAGTGTGTTTGGGGCGGCGGGGGGGGGGAGGGGGGGGATGAAGAAGGAGACAAGGCCCCCGAAAGGCAGCTGGGCCACTGGATGGAGAAGAATGAGTAAGAGCATTTTCACCTCTACCTTCACCAGGAAGTCAAGAACGAGGAAGATGAGATGAATTTTAGGAGATTCCTCTTTTAACTGCTGAAGAATTTGGGGGGGATTGTTTGTTTGTTGTTCAAGACCAAGGAGCCCAGCCCAGGCTGCCCAGCATTCCCCAGCAGCCTATAAACACAGAGAAAGGTAAAAAGTAAACAACTAAAAAGTACCCAGGCCAAAGGCAAACTGTGGGTTTTTTTTTTTTTCTTTCTCCTTCCAGTCTCTGAAAGGACCCGTTCCTACTGTCTCTATTTCAAACAAAAAGAACAGACAGTTCCAGCTTCTAAATATTGGCAGAGATGAACAACCACTCTTTTTAGAGAAATAAAAAACACACCACCCACCACCCACAACTTTCAGCAACATTTTTGCCAGCAGCATTCAAAATGATTCCCTTGAGTTAGCCAAGAGGAGCCCTCAAAAGGTGAAAAACCATGCAGATCCGCATGGCTTCTGCAGGAGGTCATTGCCAGGCTCTGCTGCGAGGCTCCTGCCCAGCCCCCCTGTGCTTCCAGGCAGCAGCTGTTGGTGTTCACCACTCAGCACCCAGAAGCAAGGACAGAGGGGGTTTCGTCTTCATTCTCCCCAGTGATTGCCATGCACAACCACCACCCCCCCGGAACCGTCCCCCAAAACAACAAAACATGCTGCCTTCCCGTGAGCTAAAAGGAATCCAATCACCCAGAAAGGGAGATTTTATGAGCTTTCGGGGGGCCCTGGGCAGATGGAAGGGATTAAAGCGAGGTGTGCTTTATGTCTTTTGTAGTTTACTCTCCCGCTGCCCCATGGAGTAGCCAATTCCCCACCCTCAGACAGGTCTGCTTATTCCTGTTGGTGACTTCTCTTTTTCTTCTCTGCCCCCATGGTTTTTTGTGAGTTGGAGAGAGGATTCAGTAAAACTTCCACTTCAGACGCATCATAAAACTCAGAGGCTGGCTGATGGCAGCTTCCAGCAGGTGGGGTACTCCTGACTGGCAGCTCCTCTGCAGAGGTTTCCAAGAATTTGGGCACTGCTTGCTAGGACCGCAGCAGAGGGGCACAGCCCAGGGACACCTTCTCTAGAATTCTAGAATCGGCGTCTCCAATTAGCGTTGTGAATGTCTTCTTTTGTTTAGGATACTCAAATGTCACGGTATAGTAAGTCATAGAATATTCTTAAAATATCTTTCTAATGGTTTTAATTTTTTTCTTTACTATAGGCTTTCATATCTTGCAATCTACCTGACAAATAATTTATAGTCCGGGCCCTGCATTCCATGGACCAACCAGACCAGAACACTCCCAGAGTTTTCAGATGGCACTAAGCAAGTAAGTCACAATAGGAAAAATACAAACAGCAATAAACATACAAAAGATGCTCAATCTCTCTAGCAATCAAAGGAAAGCAAATGTAATCAACTATAAGATATCATTTTCTTTCTTTTTTTTTTTTTTAAAGATTTTATTTATTTATTTGAGACAGAGAGAATGAGAGACAGAGAGCATGAGAGGGAGGAGGGTCAGAGGGAGAAGCAGACTCCCTGCCGAGCAGGGAGCCCAATGCGGGACTCGATCCCGGGACTCCAGGATCGTGACCTGAGCCGAAGGCAGTCGCTTAACCAACTGAGCCACCCAGGCGCCCAGATATCATTTTCATATAAGAGGTTCACAAAGACTGAAAACAAATGTAACCCCCCAGTGTAGGTATGCAAACTGATACCTTCCTGACAGGTAGCTGGCGGTACATATAAAAACAGAAACATGCCCATCAATATCATTGCAGGAATGTATCTTAAGGAGATAGACAAGTTTGGAAATCTGTATGTAAAAGGATAGTCATTACAATGTTTTTTATGATAGTAAAAAATAGAAAAAACCCTCAGTAACCAACAATTGGGAAATGCAGAGCTATTTAATGGACTGTCATATGTAGCCACTCTAACAATGTCGTTCTTTATATGAACATTCAGCTGACTCTGGGGATATTACTCAGTAGGATTGGTATTAATGTTTTCTTTACACAATACAAAGAGTTAAACAAACAAACAAAAAATTGTGTCTCCAAACACCAGGCAAAAGAAGAAGTGGGATGTAAAAACATATTTGAACGAGGATCACCAAAACAGGAATGCCGGCTCTACTATTCCTGAGTGGGATCCCCTTGGCGGCAGCCTGCACCCCTCCAGTGATGAGACAGAGTCCTCTTCCCTGTACATCACGGTCCCCCCTGCAGCCAGAGAGTTCACAGCCTTCACTGGAATTTTTCCTAAATGCTGAAAGGTACTCAGATACTACTCTCATACTGGGATTATCTTCTCCTTTTACAGAAAGGGAAACTGAGTCACTCGGAGACCAAAAGGCTTACACAAAGGCATTTCAGACCTCAGAACCTGAAATGGGACTCTGAATTCAAAATTCAGTCTTGAGTTCACCATTGAGTTGTCTTTTTCTCACACAAATCATAGGTGATTCCAGAGGCTAGCCTGCAAGTTCCCAAGGGTTGGCCTGACTTACCTTCCCCACCAGACAGCAGAAGGTTTGGAGGCTTTTAAACTTCCAAGGGCCCAGTTAAAATCATTATTAGAATATGCAAAAGTTCTTATAATAGGCACACTACATCTACTGTACCACAAACAGTAGTGACTATGGCTCCTTTTTCTAAGTTCTTCACTACTTTCCAAGTCATCTCTTTGTCAAGAAAACATTACCATTATAGTCAACACTTGTAAACAGTTTTTTGTGTCATGGAAGTGGTGATGAGAAAGGATCACATACTTGTTTTTTGTTTAACTTCACAGGTGGTTCTTATATTGTGTACACGTGATTGAAGTACATCCCTTAGAGACCCGTGGGCTTGGGTTACCCCACATGGTTACACCAGTTGGGTGGCCTGAGCTTCCCAGAAACCTATTATTAGAAACATAGCTATGTGGACACAGGGAAAGTCTTCCTGAACCATTCCCCCAAAGTGGCAGCTTTTCAGAAAAATTTTAAGTGAAATGTTGACAGTTCTGTGCTCTGTTCCTCCTGCTCCAACAACCAGACAACAGTGGCCAAGGCCCATGCCCCTCAACACCCCGCTCTCTGTTCTGTTATAACCTGGCTCCACCTCTGCTTCCAAATTTTTATCCTCTCTGCTGTTGACCCCATGGTTGCCTGGAAACCCACCTTTCTCAACCCTGGTCTTTGATCTCATCTTGCCCAAGTGCCAAGGAAGCTACTCAGGTTCATATGATCTCACTAGACTATGGTGATCTCAATCTTTTGTGAACCTACCACTACCATCAATTCATCACTTTATCTTTCTCTATGGGCTTAAATAGGGTGACCATAATTTATCCCCTATATTTTTTAGAGGTAAAGGAGGTGCTACTGGCAATTATGCCAAAGACATTAGGCATAAACCAGAACAGGCCTCAGAAATTGGGATATGTGTTCATCCTAGATCTCAGGAAAACAACACAAAATAAGGAGAGGTTAGGGAAGAGGCCAGATGGAGTTGTTTTGTTCTCAACCCACTTTCTGACATTGCTAGTAATTAAAAACCTTAGAAACATCCAGAGTTGTGTGCTTGCTTTAGGAACTAGAAAGATGAGAAAAGTTTTTATGACAATACTTTGTAGGCTAAGCATGGGGAAAGAAATAGCACCATCAGATTCCTACCTGCTGACAGTAAAAGCAAAGGTCACAGGCAGGCCAATCCTTGGGGTCCTCAGAAAGGATAAAAAGGAGTGAATGGGTTCAGGTGCAGACCTAGAAGAGCCTCAGAGAGCTTGCACTGCTAGGGGTCCCAGAAACCCCTGAAGACCACCCCCCTCCGAAACCAGTAAGCCCCTCCCAATCACAACAAGGTAGGCAGTCCTGTCTCTCAGTGCCTGGTGAGGGGGATGGGAAGAGAGTGGAGAGGAGTCCCCAGGCCCATTCCCAAGGCAGCAGTGAGGGAAAGCTGTTCTGGTAATCCAATGTCCTTTTGAACTTAATGCCCCTTAGAAAGGGCCCTGGTCAATTAGGATCAGTTGGAGTCTCTGGTGGCATCAGCCTAGGAACCTAGGTACTTCTTTGGAAAGGAGTGTTCTACACTCCAAACAACCATCTTCGTTGGAAGGTTTTAGGAGAGGTATCTCCATGTGGGCAAGGGAGTGGCCTGGTCATTTCCCAGGTACTTGTTAGCTTTTAGAACGTGTCCATATGAGGCATGAGGAATAGCCACAGGACAAATAATTTGCTTTGGCATCCTCCCAAGTGATAATGAATAGTTACAGAAATACAGCATCACATAGCTGTTTAGGCCCTCTTCTTCTTCTTCTTCTTTTTTTTTTTTTTAAAGATTTTATTTATTTATTCGACAGAGAGAGACACAGTGAGAGAGGGGACATAAGCAGGGGCAGAGGGAGAGGGAGAACCGGACTCTCCGCTGAGCAAGGAGCCCGATGTGGGACTCGATCCCAGGACCCTGGGATCATGACCTGAGCCGAAGGCAGACGCTTAACGACTGAGCCACCCAGGCACCCTAGGCCCTCTTCTTATTCTATGTTCTCTCTTCACCCAATCTCATCCCCTGACTCATTCTATCGCTCATTCATTCAACTAACATTTATTCATCCACACTCAGGGTTTGAATCCCATCTACAGGGAGATGACTCTGAAATGTGTATCTCCAGCCCAGACCCCTATATCTTCCTGGTATATCTTCTCAGTGTCTTAAAGGCACCTCAAACTCAACAAAGTCCAAGACCAAGCTCATATTCAGCCCTTGAATTCATTCCTTTCACTTCCTCGCCGCCACCATTACCCCAGGGCAAACAACCCGAATATGCCATCTGGAAAATCTCATCTGCTTCCCACTGGGACTTCCTGGGTGTCCCCCCAACCCCATGCCTCTAATTCTTTTTTCTGCAGCCAGAGCGACCTTTCCAAAAAGCAAATCTCACACTTCAACCCACTATTTGCTTGAAACAAGTCAATGGTTTCCCTTTACTCATAGAATGAGGACCAATTCCCTATCCTGGTGTGCTTCCTAACTCTCCAGACAGCTGCACCTAAGATGGCACATATCCTCACTTTCAGAGTGTCTCATATGGGCAGTGTGCACTCTGACCTGTTTTCATGCAATGCTGTCCCCTAACCCACACCTACTTACCCCTCTAGCCACAGGACATCTCCCCAGCAAAGTCCTGGGAAGTATGTAAAATTCTCCTGTAATGCTCTCTCTTAGCCAAAGCACACTCACCTTTGAGGTAAGGATCACAGCTGTAATCTGTCATTTACTTTGGGCTTCTTTGATTCATGGCTGTCTCCTCCTTTAGACTGTAAGCTTTGTGTGGACAGTGGCCGTGTCTGTGTGGTTTACCACAGGTGTTCATTAAATAATTATTGAATAAAGAAAAGAGGGAAGGAAGAAGGCAGGGGGAGGGTATATTCCCATGCTCCCTCCACATTCTGAACTTTCCTACTTTTGGAATTTTGTTTATGCTGTTCTCTCAGTCTAACAGATTCTCCTTCCTCCTGCTAGTCAAATCCCTCATTCCCACCCAAAGCCCAGTTTCAATGTCTCCATTCTGTATCTGCCCTTCATTTCTGGCATTCTTTGAATCTGGGCTTGATTAGGGTGATTCATATACACGGTCACCTTTTGAGAAGGTCCACATTTCATTTGTCTCTCTCTCCCATCCCACCCTACCCCCCCACAATCAACCTCTGGACTTCAACAGGCTTACTGAAAAGAGCTGAATTCAGCTAAGGCACCATTAATAAGGTTGGAGCCACAACAAGAAGATTTCTTTATTCTAGAGTTAGGAGATGCCATAGTCCATCGTCACCCTACTGCCCAGTACCATCCTACTCAAGACTTGATGGAAGCTATGCTGGCAGCTCTGCTAGAGTTAGAAAAAATATATATATATATATTTTTTTAACTAGGCTTCATATCCAGCATGGAGCCCAGTGTGGGTCTTGAACTCACAACCCTGAAATCAAGACCTGAGCTGAGATCAAGAGTTGGACGTTTGACTGACTGAGCCACCCAGGAGCCCGTCTGCTAGATTTTTTTTTAAAAAAGAAGCCAAACAGATGCGATTTCTATCTTCTAATATCCCACTATCTAAAATGGAGGATCATAATAAGCCAAATACTTAAATGTCAGCATTAGGGTATGTGTGTTTAGTGGGTTTGATGAAGGGAGGTGGAGGGAGTTAGCTACCCTGGGGCAACCATCACCTCCCCTTCACTCCACCAGGGAAACTGTCTATCCTCACATAATTCTATTTACTTAACATGAGCCTAAAGAAAACTTGTTTTACTTTATCCATCTGTCTCATGGTTGCCACAATATAATTTTCAAATGAAATTTCTAAATGCAGACCACACACGCTATTTCAGTGGACCTAACCCTGATTTATGCTGAAGCTGGGGGAAGGGAGATACTCTGAAGAAAGGTGCTTAGCCAGCAGTTTCCTGATGGCCAGCCGTTGCTTGCTCTGCTATAGCAGCATGCAGATGTCGTTTAGTGTCTCAGTTACTTCTGGATTTGGCCCATTCAAGAGTTATATCATCTATGCTCTACCAAGTAGGCATGAAAGTCAAAACTGTGATTCCTAAGACAACCATGGTGATAGAATATAAATTAAAAGGCCCTTGCTTGCTTAGCCTTCATCTGAAAACATCAGAATGCAATTTGTTGGACAGATTCTATAATCTGCAGATGAAGGCAGTTATAGGGCTCAAGTTTATCCAGCGTTAACAAGCCCTAATAGTCTAGTTCAGCTCAGACATAACAAACGGAAATGGCTTTAAATTATCCTTCCCTAGAGACATGATTTCATAAGAGAACAAACTCTATATGCGCACAGAGAGATTTCCAATGTAAACATGTGGTGGAAGCTAAAAGCTGCAGCAGGGTTTCAAGCCTGGATATGCCAACGGGAGGGTATTTGATTTCAAAGACACCGATTTCCTCCCAGTGCAATAGCATGCATGCTTTTTTTGCTGACTACACTTTGAACTGCAGAATACACACAAGCTTGCATATATGTGTAATTTTATAGTTTTCTTTCTAGCTAGGATATTAATAGATTTTAGCCTTTTCCCTGCACAAGTATGGCTGGGATATAGATGCTTAGGGATAGAGTTCCTCATGGAAAACACAAGGCTCACTCATCACCTGGGCTGTCTGAAATATAGACTGGCCTCTGACGCTTTGGGAAATGCAAGGTGAGCAACCTGGCACTTCCATGTTCAAGCAGGACATCGATCCAGCCCCCTCTGAATATGAAAAAGTGAGGAAAGGAGAATTCCCTTGCACTACACAAAGGGCAGAACACCCTAGCTTGTTCCTTTGGGGCTAGTCCAGTCTAAAAAGCCTAAGACCAAGACTTGACAATGACAATCATCTAATGTCCATTTGACCTACAGGCCAGATGAAGTCAGCCTCCTGTTCTTTGAATGGCCCATGAGGTAAGAAGTTTTTGCATTTTTAAATAATGGGGAGAAAAGGCAAAAAAAAAAATTTGTGACATGAAAATTATATGAAATTCAAATTTCAGTGTTCATAAAGTTTTGTTTTGTTTTTTTTTAGATTTTTATTTATTTATTTGCGAGAGAGAGAATGAGAGACAGAGAGCATGAGAGGGAGGAGGGTCAGAGGGAGAAGCAGACTCCTCGCCGAGCAGGGAGCCCGATGCGGGACTCGATCCCGGGACTCCAGGATCATGACCTGAGCCGAAGGCAGTCGCTTAAGCAACTGAGCCACCCAGGCGCCCCATAAAGTTTTATTGGAACACAGCCACACTCCTTTGTTCATGTACTGTCTACGGCGGTTTTCACACTACAGGGGCAGCGTAGCTACAACAAACACCATATGACCTGCGATGCAAAACTGAAAATATTTATTATCTGGCCCTTTACAGAAAATGTTCGTGGGTCCCGGATCTAAACTATGAAACAAAGGCAATGTGAATCTTCAATTTTTTTGGTTTGTTTTTAAATAAACCTATGCATTATGCCTAGGAACTCGCAAGTAAGTTAGATATTCTCTGTGTTTATATGAGAATCCACTTATCCAAAGTTGAAAGCCTTTGTACAGTCTTCCCGCAACCACTAAGTCATGTGTGAATCATTTAGGCCTGAGATCACAAAGTCAAATAGATTTAAGAGCTGGGCAGAAACCACAAGCAAGAAATCTGAATTTTTATTAAAAATTTCCTGAATTTTAAAATGTCATATGACTCTGACCCAGTGGGAACCAACCTGCACTCTCTGATTTAGACCATGAGCATACCCTGGACTCTTCATTTTTTAGCCGCTATAAACTGTAAGGAAATTGTGCTTTGCAGAGTATCTTCTATTTTTATATAATCAAAAAATAAAAGTAGCCTACATTTATCATCAGAACCCAACACATAAGGTCTACTCGTTTTAGTGATGTTAATCACTTTGGACTGTAAACTCTTCGGACTGTCCTTCTTGCTTAACTCGTCAGTGCCCTTCTACAGCACAGGCCAGGCTAGGGCCACCTAGTAAATACTGGCTGACTCTGCCAGCAGTCCTCGCTTCTTAACTTCTCTCTTGCCCTGTTGGTTTTCGCAGCCTGGGTGGGATACTGAGCAAGTTCTTTTATTTCATCTCTGCTCTGGGGAGATGAGTAGTTAAACTACTCCAGAAAGAAGAGGATCTCTAAAGCTTCAAAGTCCACTCTCAATGCATACAGATATCCTCTACTTGGGCTCCCATGCAATCCTACCGTGTGCATGTTTATAAGATAGAGGCCCAGAGTGACCAACAGTCCTCTCAACCCTGCAAGGAACAGAGGCTGCTAACATCAGTAGTGGAAATTACTGTAAAGCAGAGCCTGCTCCTGTTCCCAAGCCTGCTTCTTAAGGCCAAATCTTTGCAACACTGAGCGCCCGCCCATTCTGTGGGAGTAGCTAATTCTACATCCTCAAAGTTGTAGGAAGTAGAGGAATACTGCTAACAAAAATGCCTACGCTGCTGTTCATTCACATGTATAAACACACATTTAGTCAACAAACATCTCTGGGATGGTCCTTGAGTGTCAGGTACCATGTTATGTGTCAGAGACAATGGAAGGAGCAGGACTTGGGCTTGGTGCCCAGGACCTTTCCGTCTACTGGAGGCAAACAGTGTTGCAAACAATTCATAAAAAAAAGAAAGAAAGAAAGAAAGAAAGAAAGGAAGGAAGGAAGGAAGGAAGGAAGGAAGGAAGGAAGGAAGGAAGGAAGGAAGGAAGAAAGGAAGAAAGGAAGAAAGGAAGAAAGGAAGAAAGGAAGAAAGGAAGAAAGGAAGAAAGAAAGAAAGAAAGAAAGAAAGAAAGAAAGAAAGAAAGAAAGAAAGAAAGAAAGAAAGAAAGAAAGAAAAAAGAAATGTGTTGAGAACAACAAGGCACAGAAGTGCACACAAAGAAGAGACCGCTTGCTTCTTCCTAAAGGTGAGTTGTCAAAAAAGGCTTCAGAGAGGAGGGGCACTCTGGTTGAGTCTTGACAGCTGAGTCAGTTTTGGGGGAGGCTAGAAGGCACAAATTATAGGCAGAAGAGCAGCAATGCAACCCCAAAATGTGAAATAGCCTAGCCCCTAAGAGGTACTCTGAGTACTTCACAATGACTCTAGTGTGTGTGTTTGGGGGAGGAGGTGGGTAATGGAGAAATGAGGCCGAGAGAGAAAACATTCAAGGAGATATGGCTGGAGAACTCGCAGCTGCCAGACCCTTGAGGTCCCTGTATGTATGCTAAGGAGTTTGGACTTAATCCTAGAGGCAGTAAAAAGACCCTGAGGGATTTCAAATACAACAGTAACACAATCACGCTGTTGCATTGGAAAGAACACTTTGGCCACAGTACAGAAGAGGGAATAAGAACTACAGAATGGCGGGGCGGGGGGGGGGGGGTGCTGGACCAGTCCAGGTGAGAGAAAATTCAAGGTATGAACTTAGACACTGGATGTATGGCTGGATATGTGAGGTACTGAGGAGAGAAATTTTGATCATGGAATAGATGTTGGGGGGAAGGGACAGCAGAGAGGAAAGGAAATCTACATTGATTCCTAGGATTGGGGTTTGGTGACGGGGTAACTGGTGAAGCTATTCATCATGAGAAGGGGTAGAGGAGGAGGAATAAGATCTTTTTTTGCTGAAAAACAACAAAAGGCATCAGTGACTTTCTGATTATAATCTAGGCTAGGAAACCATATCAAATGAAGTTGTGCTTCAGGGTGTCTCAGAAAATTCTTTTTCTGTCCTTGCGGCTTTTGAATGTCATGGATTAGATTACCATGGTGAAGATGAAGCCATCTTAAATCTGTTTTGGAAAAAGATAGGATATAAATAAAGAACACATAAAAAGCCAAGATATTTAGTTTTTAGATCCATTCTCTACACATATTCAAAGACAAATACAGGATCTTTCTAAACATTTTTTGTGAGGATTGAGGGGACCATTAAGTTATACACCTTTCCCACCTGAATTCTGAACCCATCAAAAGAAACAGAGGAAGTAGAAGATACGGCTTGGGAGCACGCAAGAGTGGGCTCCCCCCGAACTAAATTAGGGAGTGGCCCCAATGCCTCTGTGGCTGGTGGAGCACCATACCTTCCTTAAGTTCCTTCCTTATTCCAGACTCACCAGTCAAATGAACCATTCCACTTCCCTTGAGAAGGAGTGATGAGGAAGCAGAGAAGCCAAGAGCTGCTTAGGGAAAACCCTTCCTCATGGAGATTAAGGCCTTTCCCTAAAGCCCTTGCCTAGTAAACTTTTAAAAATTATTCTTTTCCTAACGTAAGCAGCGCATATGTTTCAGTAAGCATCAAGTGGCTTCTGTGTCCCAGGCACCGGATGAGGCACTGAAGATAAAGAAAGACAAAGTTCTGTCTTCAAATGTTCACACCCTATTTCAGGAAGCTAGATCTGTAGAAGGAAGATAACCAAGGGACAGAGAAAAGAGGCAAGCAAGCAAAATATTTGGAAGCAAGGAGGAAGTCACAATTAGTTGTAACTCCAGGGATGAGAGAATATTAAAAAGCACCTTGAATTTTTTCTTTCACTACATACAATATTGGAAGCTGTCATTTCATTTTCGTTCCTGAAGGCTTTTCTTTTCCTTTTTTTTTTTTTTTTTGCCAAGGATGTGAAAGTGTCTGACATGCAGTTGTGTAATGTATGGGTGGACAGCTGTTCTTTCTGCCTACTCAACACCCCATCCCCCTTTTCTGGTAACAAAAGGCTTCCTTTCCTTTGGAGAACTGTCCCAGCCCCACCTTTGGGGCCCCTATCTTTCTGCCACAGGGGTATGCAAGTAATCCAGTGGGTCAGATGGATTCTTTAGGGGTACTGACTTAAAGGCAGAAAGAAAAAGGACCCCATGCCTTTTGAGATCCTAAGTGATGAGGACTAGGGAAGCCACTTTGTCACCATGTGGCAGAACCTGCTAAGATTAAAACTAACAGGAGGAAAGCAGAGCAGAGAGATAGAAACAGCACTAGAAACAATGATACACTGTTGGAAACCCAGTTAGATCCACCCCCTAGACTTCTCAATTACCTTAATCAAGAAATTCCATTGGACTGGTTACCTGCACCGAAGACCCTAGATAATACAATACTTATCAATACAATACTTATCATAAGCTTACAAATTACTTGGATTACTTACAGATTGCTTCTATTGTATCTTGGACCTAAAATATTCAAGTTGAGACTTCCACAAAACTTTATGAAGATGCTTACTGCTTTAATGCTTTAAGATATGTCCTAGGAATTGACAATTAATTCTATAAATGATAGTGCCATTTTATGATGAAGCTACTCTAATATGATATCATTTATCAACTATCACTTTTAGTTTTTATTTTTCCAATTATATCATACTTATAGCTCAACCTTTACTAATATATGTTTCTATGATTTATTTTAATCCATTGTACCTTTTTTTATTACAGTTTACTAAAATATAGTCACCTTAGTTCTTGCTGCCCTTTTAAAGAGACAAAATTCATTTTCAATTCTAACTTAGTCATAAACAGTGTGCTTTATCTTAATATTCTCTCTGCCCAATCCATCTTAGGGGCATCTGCAAGGTTAAGACATCATCCATAAGTGGAAATTGTTGTTTTTCACCTTCTCTGAAGGTGAAAATACCAGCAAAATTAGAATTTTAAATAGCAGGAATGACTGACCCTCTGTTTACACAGCAGTAAAATAAAGACAGTGAACCCTATTTTCCTCTTCTTGCCCTATAAAAATGAAAAGGACAAGTTAGAACACGTAGCTATCTCTGAACACCAAAGGTGGTGGTGTTACCTATCACTTTTGTATTTTATTTCCTACCAAATTCTGATCTCTTAGAGAGTCAAGTATCATGGATGTCTTTGGCCATCCCAGATAATGTAAGATGGTGGCAAGATGATAAAGAGAGGAAAGAATGAAAGCTTTTCTACTTTCCTTGGTAACTCATTCCAATGTTTCAAAACACC